ACCCCCAAGGTCATAAAGTATAGCATGAAACACCGACTCGTAAAAAAGCCAACTGGTCAAAGAAGCGAACTCTCTCCGGCCATCGCCCACCTCACACCATCCCAAGCCCCCCCACAGGTGCATTTGGGACGCCGTTCTGGGAACTCATTTGCTCGCCGGGCGTCGTTACCAGAGGTGGCAATGATCTGCCCCGCGAGCATGTCCATCGATGTGACGCCTTCTGAAGTGGACATCGGGAGACCCCCTCAATGACCACGGAGTGTGTGTGGCGACAAAAAACGCATGTGTGTGGCGACTCGTGGTGACTAGATGGCGACTCCCTCATCATAGCAGCCCATTGTGGGTATGTCTCCCTCATCATCCACTATTCTGGCGCACTCCCTCTTCTTCAGAGGCGACAAGCGTTCTGGGCGTATATAGTCATTATTAATTATGCTTCTCCTCTTCCAAACAACGGATACGGTAACCTTGTGGACTTAGTGAATCTGAACTCTTCAACAAACCCCGGTGTGTCGCGATCAATGGGACGCCATGGCCTAGGCAAATCTGCTTCTTGATGCTTTGGGATAAATGATTCATGCCTCAGTGAAGCAGAGTTTCCTCGAAATCCTTTGCTGGATGAAGTTTTGAATGTTGCGCTGGTGTAATGTTCAAGCCAACACCACCAACAAAGCCAACAATGAGCACTCCACCAAGCTTCAAAATCAGGCCGCCATGCTATCATATCTGCCACACCGCACTTGACTTAGCATTGATCTGACCAACTTACAGTATAGCCTATGCAAAAGCAACGAAGGATGTACTCTAGTCGTGCGAGTTGAGGCTATCATATGACATGACGCCCGTTTTTGAGCAAGCGCAACCCAAGGAGCAGGACAAGTGCTGAAGGTGTTGGAGGTTCTTCGCAAAGTCGATTTCATGCTGCAGAACCGGCGGCAGCTCTTTCAGCAAGTTTGCCTTTTGGCACGCAAGATTTGGATTCGAAGAGTAGGCCTCCTGTGCTAAGAAACCTAGATTGAGAAACACGACAACAACAGGGAGGGGATTTCCAACATGACAAACCATCAAACCCACCATGGCGCGAAGAAGGACATAAGGAAAGGATATATATATATACTTATATACTGTATATACATATTCACATGCATATATTTTCTTTACTTTATTATCATATGTGTATATTGTTATATCATTGAGCTCGTTCCCCCGGCCTCCTTTGCCATAATCCGTCGGCGGGTAAACTTGTGATGGAGATACTCCTGGGCATTGGCAGGCGATTTCTCGGTGGTCTGGGAGGGTTGTTTCTGTATCACACCATCGCCTCGAGACACAGGACTTCCCCACGACACCAATCTACACCACATCGGTTACCACAGGTTCTGCACCTTTTTCAAAACCATTCTCGAAACCTGCTTTGTGCGTTTTCCAGCCCCTCCAGCTGTGCATCAGCACAAGCAAATGCACCATCTGCACGAAAAACAGCTGGGAACTTTGAAAAGCCATCTGGACCGCCTGCTCATTTCCCACTCTCCAACGGGATCCTCCACACTCCAACTGTACACCACAAATCCTGGTTAGACTTGAGTAACGCCAGCCCTACTTGACCTCAAAAAAACACTAAATAAGTGCAAAAACAACAAAGTGAGTGAAGAACCTCAAAGTGAGACCTGTTTTGGCCGAAGCGCCAGGTACCAAATGGTGTCGCCGCTAAAGGCACTGCTGGTGTGTAGTATTTCTCGATTGGGCCATCCCAAGCACACCGCTAAGTGAACACAAGTGAACCCTCGAGCGTCGAATGCCCAAACACTTCAAAAGCCAAACCACCAGCAGTGAACGTTCCTCCAACATTTACACCAACCGGCCAAAGACCCATCTTCCAATCTTCCCATCCCCCTCAGGAGGGCCCACAAGCGATTTATAACTTATTGTAACATCTTATGACCACGCTGCCACCATCACTGTTTCTCTCCCCAGCTCTCAACATGATGCTTAGGTGCCTTGATCTTCCGTTGCGAGTGTTCCTCTACCTTCAACTTGTGAAGGTGCATACGGATCGCGAACATCTCATCGTTGAAGCTTCGGCCACGCTCGCCTTGAGGAGCAAAATCCGTTGGGCCTACCTAGTCCAAATCCAAACCGACCTTCTGTCCAAATCCAAGCAGAACCATGAAACATCAGAATCTGTTCGGCAACATCTGCCTGTGAATCAGCACATCAGTCATCAGTGAAACATGACGCAATATTTTGAGATTCATTATGTCTTCTTTGAGCTACACCGTTGACCACACAAGACCATGCGCCCGTGGTCTCCGTTCGGCAACATGTCCGCTCAAGTCAGCACAAGCGAGTGACTGATCTTGAAGTAAGCTTGCGTCAGCGAGGCCACTGACACCGCAAAGGCGGAGAGAGCGAAGAACATGAAGCACAGCACGAAGATACCTCGAGGAGGTCAACACCACGCGCAAGCGGGTTTCACCGCGCGCGCGTGAAAAAAACCGAGGTGAGCAAGGTTCGCATCCTAGGAGGGCGCAGTTGGAGATGGGGTGAGGCCCAGGTCAGCCCCTGTAGGATCCCTGTAGTCCCTGAGGCGTAGTCAGTCAGTCTGGGGGTCCCTGTCGTTGGATCTACAAGCCGATTCCACCATGGACCCCCGGACCTCGGACCTACCCGGACAGGCAACGTCTTCGGACACATGGAGCCAGGAACAGTGTCAAGCTGACTCGCGACCTTGATAGATGCAACGATATATATATATTATATATATAATAAAGTTAAACAGCATCAAACATCATCTCTTCATATCTCTTCCGCAATCATTGATTAAATTTGATTAAATGCCTTCATGACTCCCCCTAGCGGATGGCCACATGAAATATTAAGCGAAACTTCACAACAAGTCCTGTCCTCGTTCAAAACGACTAAGGCTACCTGAATCTTTTCTACCACTTTGCGAGCTATACAGCCACCGCATTGCAAAAAAAAACGGCCCAAATCGATGCAACGACGGAAGGGGCTTCTGCTTGTTGCTGAGGTGCGCTCCACCAGATTCACAGGAGTCACTTCCGCGGGCATGGTGCGCATTACCCCAAGTGTCCAATAGAAGCAAAAGATGTACTGCTCGAACCTGAGTGAAGGCGAATTCATGTGAAGTCATGTGAAGGTGAATCTGTGATTCGTGTGAATTCACACCGACTCGTCTGGAACTTGATTGCCCATGAACAACAACAGCTGAGTGGATGATCCAAAGCGGCTCTGGCGGTTTATCCGTCCGAGGCACATGGGCTTATTCCACCATGCCCATGGCTCTTCAAGCCCTTTGGTCCTGAAGACGTGCACCGCTTGGCCATGTGATCAAAAGGAAGAAGAAGCTGAACACCTATTGTTCGAGCAGCCTGTTCTCCAATGCTACTGAGATCTCTTGACTGACAGAGTCAGGCTCAACCATTGCGTCAAAAAGCAAATTCGTCGCAGCTTCCGCATCCACTTTCGCACGTCAAAAAGCGCCATCCCCCCGTCCGTGGAATCGTGGTCCAGTGGGGCATGCTGTCAAACTCCTTCTTCAAAGCCCTCGAGCAGCGAGGTTGGCATCGGGGACTGGGGTGGACGTTGTTCGATGGCAGTGAGTTGTGACGGTGATGCCTGGTGAATGCTCAACTCGCTTGGCTTTTTAGAATTATTGCCCTTGAATGCCTGAGGCGCACCATAATGAAAGCCTCCCTGCAACAGTTTGGACATCCATAGTTTGCATTTTGGACAACACAACAATGATGTCACGAGTCACGAGAATCATGCTGAGGCCATGTTGGGACATGTCTGCTTTCCCCCACCGAAAGGAACCAGCATTCCTTCCTCGTACCAACCAGCATTCATTCCGAAAAAAGTTGAGGCCTGTTTCGTGGCGTTCCTCACGACAAGCTGCGTGCCTGTCCCCTTCGTCGTTTCAAGGAAAACCAATAGTGGCTATATGTGGCTATCTATGCATATGTGCACACATACCTAGAACCTGTCCCCTAGATTGGAGGATCAACAATCCAAAATATGGCCTTGTCCTATCACATTAGACCATATTGTGCAAATCATACAACTGTTCAAGAAATGCAAGCAAATCACAGGCACGCACGGCTACTGGAAATGCATCGGCAAATCACAGGCGGTGAATAGAAGCCAGCTTGCAGTTGCAGGAGAATCTGCAAAGCTTTATTAAAAAACAAAAACTGTAATTAGCTATCTATCTGTAGCTGTTTCACTTGCTGAAATCCGCAGATCCTGCAAATCCCTGTGAATTCAAGGTTTCAATTGGAGAAGCAACTTTGCCTACCACTGGTCACTTTGTCACTAGAGGACCCTCAACAGCCTTCGCATTTCAGTATGGGACGATCAGTATTCAATCCAAGTGTTCCTGTAAGCTCAGATTGCTGCGATTGAAACTCTGTCCCGTTTTGTCCGTTAAACCTTTACACCCTAAACTACACTGACATGGCCGCCACAAATGCTCGGTTTTTCCTGGTTCATTCTTAGGATTCATTGTTTTCGTTCAGTTTCCCCTCCGGTTCGGATGCAATATCCCCTCAACACACCGGGTGTGCTTTCAGAAACCACTCCTCCTGACTCTGGCAGATTCGACCGCCCGACCGCCCATTGTGGGCCAGGCCACGTGGGGAGGAAATCGGTGACGATACTATCTTCGCACCCGATGATCCAAAAAAGGCAAGCATTCCAGTGGCAAATGCCTCGCTTTGGGCGTGGCAGCGGCTGGTGAAGAAATTATGAACGCAAGGCGACGCAAGGCGACGCAAGGCGACGTGCGGAGAGGGGGAAGTAAGATAAGTGAAAAGAGAAAACACAATGAGAAGCTGGGCAGTGACCCGCTAACTAAGCGTCAAGAAGCAGCGTTTGGGGTCTTGAACTTTCTGTCGCCCGGTGACTGTTAACTCCATTGATCTCCATGCGACAAAACATCACGACTGGCTTTGTTTCAAGTTTACAATGCACCCAAACACAAGGATTGTCACACGACCAGTGCTTACATGTGCTTTCCAGTCCTCTCCTCAAGTGTCAACAAAGACTGAACAAAGCAACACAAAAACGTGGTCTCTGCACAACAGTCATTGAAACCCATATGAACCCCGTATGAAACAGTCTTGGGCATCAGTTCAAAGCATGGAGCATCTGACATGCCCTGCCACCCTGCCAGCACAGAAGTGCCAAGATGTTCTCACCAAACAAATCACGACAATCTGGACTATCTTTAAACAATGTCTTTTGGCTCCTACTTAGTTGGAAAGGGTGGGAAATTACGCCGAGGACGTGAAAAGAAAAAAACGTGATGCATCTTAAAAAGAGGGCGGCATCAAAGACACACACACAACTTCGAACTCATTGTCGGTGAAACTACAGTACACTGGATACAGTCTGTATACATATATATATATATAGAGAGAGATACATACATGTATTACATCATAATATCATGTAATATTGCATACGGATCAACAATTCAGGTTTCCCTGCCCCCTTCAGCGTCATCCGAAGTTGTTATTGCTAATTTGATTCCTCGCATCGCCGCATAGGGGAAAATGGCAATCCCCTGCTCATTGACCCGTCCCTTCACCCCACTCAGTGTCCCCTAAGTGCCTTTCTTTCATAAAAAAAAATAATTCCATGTCATTCATTCCTAAGAGCCGAGCCCAGCCCATCCTTCTGGTCCTCGTCCGTCCTCCCGTCCCGAATCGAGATCGTCCTCCCTGCGGCCAGGGGGCCTACCACCACCAGCAAGACTCGGATCAACATCATTCCCTGGACGATTGCCACAGAGCCGATGCGCCGCTCCACCTGCTCCCAAATGTCCTGAAGATGACGGAAGTCGATGACAGAGCCATCTACTTGGACGGTGGAACCAGGTGGAACATGATGGAACCGGAGCGTATTGTATGATGGCGAGGACATGGGCGATCCTGGCCAAACAGGTTGAGATATGAGATGACGTCCTGGGAGTCTCATGGGTGGCGAGGCACAAATGGGTCTAGAATCAAAGGAGCCCAGGTAGTCTTCGACATTTCATATGAAGCTCGAGCCATAGATCCATAGATCCATTGAAGGTGATTCCAACTGGTGTGTCGTTTTGTGTATATCACTGCTGCCAGGGCGGTCACCCTTATCCCCTCTGACCGCCAGCCGATGGCCGCGGAGTGCTGAGTGCTCGTGTGGAGTCCTTCAACTTCTTCGCGCGGAGCATCTTCATCAGCCGGACGATCCGGATAAATTTCAGCCTCACACCACGCAACAGGTAGCTACCCCTCAAAATGAACAAATGGACAAAAAGCCAACCTTGTATACTGTGAAGGTGAGCAGGGCAAAGGCATTAAGCTCCGGCGAAACGAACGGCAAAGGAAGTCTGGCTGGTGATGTTGACACACCAAATTGGTCTTTGAAACTGAGAGACGTGAGAACGGTGCCCTCCATGTTCGGAGACAGCGGCTCAATTTTTCCAGTGAACTCCTGGTTGATTGAACAGGTTGTAATGAATACCGGACAAGTGTTCAAGGCATGGCATAACCTGTCTGGAATTGAAAGAAATGGGCCGGTGGATGCCGGTGGTCTTGGCACTTGGTAGAGGACATCCGTTTGTGACCCGAACCGGTGTCCGCGCTTCAAGCCGTGAGAAGGTTTCCATGCATGGCACAGCAGGTCTCGCGGCCCTATGGGCCAGAGGGGGATCGTAATTGCAACGTTGTATGCTCAAAAACGGTCGTTTAACAAATAAGATGAGCCCTCCAAACATCTCCAAACCACCCAGCTATGGTGAATTGACGTGTTCTCGGAACTTCCCCAAGGTGGCTGCCTTTGTAAACTCGCGCTGTCGGGGCTTGCGGTCTGTCTTCGGACTTTCGCCGAGCAACACCTTCGCGAGTTTCGCCACGGTCACCATGGGACCACCGCCCTCTGAAAGGCTATCCACCTGAGGTGGATTCTCGATCGATGGTCTCATTCAAGGGATTCTCCGGCTGATTCTTCCGACGAACGAATTTGGATTACTCAATCCTTCTTCCAGCAGTTTGGTTGTGATGGCTCTGCAATTGACCCAGCCCATGGATTGAGGAGACATACTACCAGGCCAGCCTACCAGCTGTTAGGAAAGGAGTCTTCGTCCAAAAAGACTGATGAACACTCGGGGTTCTAGTGGTTGCGACCCAAGCCCCGCAACTGGCTGTACAGCTATAAAGAGCTGGAGTTTCTCACCTCAAACATTATGAATCTTTGATCGCTGCGTGACGTGATGCAGGCCAAGAAAGGATGTGATATTACGAACAGTACATATATATATAAAACAAAATAGAATATATATATATATATATATGTATTAAATTGTATTAAAGTTCAGTCTCTTTTGGGCCTTTGCCTCATCCCATCCGGTGAACAAAAGAAACGCACACACACATTATACACTGCTTGGTTGGGTATCAAATGCCGCGCCCTGCGAAATCATCGAGCTTTGCGATGTTTCATTGTGCTGCGCGCCATGCCGTCAAGCAGCTATGCGGCTCCATGGTACGGTGCTGACAAAGTCCAAGACAAACCAACCCTTCCTTAGTCCGTCCAAGCGCTGCTTTTGAACCCAACACTCGCTGCTTTGGTGCGAGTGAAAAAGGGGTGCTTCTCCGATTTTGGCTAGCGCTTCTTGGCATCGTTGGCACAAAAAATATGAATATTGAAATACAGTTCATAGACTTGAAACTGATTCATGCATTAAAAGTTGCCACGTTTCCACTAGATCCCCTCTCAAGTTGAGGATGATATTCCGTGAGGTGAACTTGCCAGTGTCGCTGCAGTGGTTAAAGTGATGTCATTTGGCACATACGGGTTACGACATCTGCACTGTATACCTGTCCCTGCTATTCAATTCCCTTGGGGTCTGCCATCTACCGGGCAAGCTTCAAGTAGGTCATCGCAATGACATGGCGGTCGACGATCACGGCATCCTGGCGTTCAGAAAAGCTCAGTCGTTAGGATTCCAAGCTTGGGTGAGTCGTTGGGTGTCTGACATCTGGTTGAACTGAACTTGGAGGTCCTGAGTCCGCTCTGAAAAAGTCGCTTGAAATCCTAACAACTACAACTACCACTTCTTAGTAGAAGAGCACGTACTTAGAAGTTTGGGTTCTACCAATGTTTTGTTATTTAAAGTGCTTCTGAAGAAAAATGTGACGGGCCGCATAAAAACATACCAGCACACCCACTGTGTTATATATACATGTATATACATATACAATATCATACAATTACACACATGCATGTCGTATCATAAGTTGTATACTTCTTTTATGCGGTTGGGCATGGTTTAATTACCCATGTTCACCCTATCCAAGGCCACGGGCTGCCCGATGAATGTCCAAACCTTCTCTGCAAAGGGTCACCCAAAATAACCACAACCCCGCCATTCAAATCCCTGTCAGTCGCGGAGAACGCCCCCTGCCGTGGCCTGGACGTCTTCTGCTTCCTCGTCACGAAGTGCCGTGTCAAAACTGGCGAAGATGTCCTCGGTCCAACGGTGCGGCCACCGGTCCGGCATTGGTTGGCACTGGGAGGCACTGCAGCACCCACCCCGAAAGAAAGCGATCGATTTCAGCTCAGGTGATCCCATTCGCCCAGTATTCCTGGGTATTGGGCATTGGGGGTCATTAAAGGATCCTCATATTATGGAAGTGATTTGATGTTGTTGTTTTTTTTACTGTTGAATTATGTTGAATGCATTTGGACTCCAAATTATGTGCATTCCGGCATTGGGGTGTTTTCTGCACGCTTGTGATGATGCTCAGCGATTGACAAAAAAGACAGCCCGCCGCAGCCAACCAGGGAAGTTCAACTACTGATCAAAAAGTCACCCAACAGCCGTGATGCGAAACATCCATACATATCGTTACTCATCCGGCTACGTTGCTACGTAGAGCATCCCCTGACAACCCGGGAACTTCAGAATCTCCTCAAAGAGAATGCTTCTAAACATCAAACCCACAATCCGCACAAAATACTGTAACACAAATGATTGTACTTGTGGCCGCCTCCTCTTCACTTCGCAGGATGCTCATCGGATGAATGCAATCCTCACAATAAATGAAGCTTAAAGAAACGTATTGCGTGAGAGGTGCAACCAGGATCCATAATTCATAGTGACATAGTGAGTCGGTTCCGAACAACACGTCTACTGTATATATCTGGCAACCTTGCCTCCACAGGTTTGCCTAAGGACTGAGGACCCAGACCGCCCGTGCTTCCGAACACCTAGAGCCAACAGTTTGTTCAGCCGTGCCGCTGCGCTGAAAGTCAAGGTTGTAAGCCAAAACCAAAAATCGTCGAAGGCGTCCAGCTGCATGCCTTCCCAAAACGCTGCTGAGCAGTTGGCGGTTGATTCATGTTTCAACCATGAGCCGAACAGATTGACTCTCCAACAATAGATAATTTAGATAATTGTCGCAAAACATCTCAGAACCAACTGAGAACACAATCCCAACATGCAATGATTTGAATTTCATTGGTATTTGTAGCCCAATTTGTAGCGGATCTGCCTTCCCTAGGTGTCTCCAGTGGAATTGACCGAACACGGGAACCACAGAACCCCGGATTGTTGGGACTCGATGTTCGGGTCCTCCGTGGAAGTTGCCGCAGTGGGGCGCAGCGTCCAGTATGAGGCATAATTATGCTTTTTCAGTCGCCGCGTTCTTGTCCAACATCCAACATCATCCCACCAAACCCATCGTTTCGACTGAATCGGAGAATTTCTAGTGGGTCCAAGGTGCCATTCTTAAAGGAGAGCTGAAAAGGAAGCACCATCGCATCGCAAAGTACCACTAACCTCATCGATTGCCGCGCATTCGAACAAACGCTCGTGCCGCTGGTCCAGATCTTCAAGACGGTTACTCCATGGGTTTGCATAACCCAAACACTCCATGGGACTGCCATATATGCCTACATTGGGGTCGTTTTGTGGGTCAATGTAGGCATATATGGCATAAATGGAGTGTTTGCATAATGGAATACAATGGAGAAGATATGAGCATGACTCATGACGCAAATTTATATACTGACCGCGGAAAGTTAACGGGAGAAAGGGATATTGCTGTATGTGTTCAAACATGTTCCTCATTGATAGTTTTTTTTCTTGGAGTCCATGTCTATCAGAACAATGTGGAAGCAGTGCATGTCCTGAAGGCACCACGTCTGTGCTATTGACATTCAATTGAACCATGTGGGTGTATTGGGCGTCCACCCTGCCAACCCCTGCGCCGTGCTATACATGTGCATTTGCGCCCCCTCGCGCGGTTCCCCAAAGAAACAGCATTGTCTTTCATCCGTGGCTCACCATCCCACTCTTATACCAAGGAACACCCACCCAAATACACAAAACAACAGAACACATATTGACGTCTTTCATAGTTTTGTGATCTTGAGGGCTGTGAGTTGGAGAGGATTTCCAAATTTCCGACCATGAATAAGTAGACGTATAGTCCATCAATGGATGACCACTGATTCCAGATCGCGGCGGTTCAACTGCGGCTGCCCCCCTCCAAAATCGCTGTAACAGCGATGTGAGGACACCGTCGACCGATGTGGTGAAACGGTCGGAGCCCGCTTGTGACACGGTCGCACCAAGGGGCATCACATAAATGTCCCAAACCAGCTTGGTCGTCCAGCTGGGATCAATCAAGAAGAATTGTGCAGGACTCTTGGCGGGCACCGTAGCCACTGGCACTTCAACCTGAGTGAAGTCATGGATTGAAACCCATAACAGGCAGTAATTAGATGTCAAATAGCAAACAAAAGCTATATGTAGGTAAAATAGTTGTGTATGTATCGTGACGACATGGACAGTACATGATCAAACTGTGTAGACTGTGGCCACCAATTAGCTCACCTACAAACCGCACCTACAGAAGATGTCCCAAGGACATCCCAGGACCAAAGGATATCATATCAAAGGATATAGATTTTGTATGATTTTGTAAAGGAACATCTTAGGATATCGGATATAGTGATCCGCAAATAAATAGTTGCAGGGTGTCCAATACATTGTGCACGTGGGAGACCTATATAATATATACCTTATATATATCCTTATATAGGACTGTGGCATTCCTCATTCAAAATCCATAATGACTGAGACCAAGACCCTGGGATCCGCAAATATTAGTCGACATGTCCAGCGAAATCGATGGTAAAATAGCATTGAGATGCATTGGGCCAGAACCGCGTTCAAGATTGAATATACAAATTGTCAACTTGAGGCCTGCCATCCAAAAGAAGAGCCTGCTCCGAAATTGATGCTTCAATGTCGAGTAGACTCGACTACAAAGCATGCCTGCCATCCCTGGAAGCTCGGCCAACCAATGGATCCCAAGAGCTCGGCTCTTGCTTGGTCAAGATCGATGGGCCACGAAAAACAGCACCCACAGCTTGGCCACTCAACAGCACCCACAACTTGCTGCCTCAACCACAGCTTTTGGACCAAGACAACTGCTCAAGGACAAGGAGCTTGACTGTCTTCGGTCTTCTCAGAGGAGGACAGCTTGGACCTCTTGCCTTAACAAAGAATGCGTTTGGAGCTGGTTGCTGCTTGGTGTAACTGCTGTCTCTGTCGTTCCGTTCCAGGGAGGCCCCGTATGCAAGTGTTCAGTGTCCATGTTTCAAGGCCTTCTCCTTAAGCTACGAGGAACAAGGGCATCGCTACTAGGAGCAAGAAGCTACGAAAGGGGCGCTCGTGGCCTTACCACTAGGAGCAAGAAGCTACTAGTAACAAAGGGTTCCACCCCCTGACCGCAAATGATGCCCCGGAGAAGCGGTCCATGGTTTCTGGAGGTTCCCATCAAGGGTGGACCATCGAAGCCAACAAAAGCAGCCCTGGCCCGAAGCGAACGCCCAACGGTGACAGTATAAGTGCCCCTCCTCTTGCCAAAGCCCCCGGCAACGTTATCCCAGTGTATTATCTGACTCAAATAGAAACGCATCTGCTGATCATGCCCTCCGTTTGTTTCACAATCACCACACACAAAAAGTTGAAGACAAAGGAAGTCTACTGTGAATTGTGAACCCTGTAGTGTCATGAGTTTCCCCATATTTGTTGGAGGGCATGGTCTCAATTGCAGGGGTGGTTGGTCCTCCACCCATTGGGGGATTGGGGGGTTTACATTTTGGGCTTTCAGTAAGTATAACAGAACATAACAAAACACATTATGAGCCCTAAGAATGCTCCTACCTTCATGAGCCACTTTCCTTGCAAGTGATGTCCACAAGGCCTTGAGCCTTTCGACCCCCCGTCCTCTGTCAAGTTGTCTTCATCACTAGGTTTGAGATCTGAACAACTCCTAGACGGAGAGATCCAAGGTCACTGGTCCGAGATCCATCTTTTGAAGATGACCCGAAAACCTCACACCCTGCGTTTCCTTCAAGACTTTGCAAAGACTTCACCCTGAAACCGCCGCGCGCAAAGCGACGGAATTGATCGAACCGGGTTGCTGTTGTTTCGATCGTCGATGCCCAAGCCGAAGCTATCGGAATTTGCTAAGCTCTTCTCCACCTGGTCCATATCCTGACAAAGTCGAATGATTCGAGCGGATTTCACCCTGAGGTGACTGAAAATGGCGGCCTACCACAAAGGACCAGTTACACACCCCGTCCCCCAAACTTACTATATATTATATATATACAGTATAGAATAGTATAATATGTGCATTCAAGAATCTCTCTTACCCTTGTGCACTATGGGCATCTAGTCATGATTCACCTTCATTAAACATGACACTTCCTTTCCGCGGAGTCGGTTCAATCGGATGTCCACGCAGTTCTAACCAGCTTCACTAGGATTCGGGTCATCCACTACTCAGTCATCCACTCTAGGTCTTGGGTGCTACACATGACCAGTCAGATCCAAAAGACTTTAAAAGAAAACCACCGCAGTGGGCCTCGCCCAGGGGGAAGCTCAACTTCTCCGGTGGCGACGAGCGCGTGGGCGAGGAC